TCCGAGTAGTAGGAGTCTTCGTCGTAGTCGCAGTGATGACGATAATGATGGCAGTAGTGGCAGTCGTCGTCGTAATTGTTATAGTCGTAGTAGTCGTAGTAGTCGTACTACGTAGTGGTAGTAGGAGTCGTCGAAGTGGTAGTGGTAGTGGTAGTGGTAGTGGTAGTGGTAGTGGTAGTGGTAGCGCTAGTGGTAGTGGTAGTGGTAGTGGCAGCGGTAGCGGTAGTGGTAGTGGTAGTGGTGGTGGTAGCAGTAGCAGTAGCAGCAGTAGCAGCAGCAGCAGCAGCAGCAGCAGCAGCAGTAGTAGTAGTAGTAGCAGTAGTAGCAGAATTGTGGAAGTCAGGGGAGGAGGAGGAGAAGGATGTAACAGCATTAGCAGTCGTCGTCGAGTGATGAGCCATTGATCTTCAAAGCTGGGCTGTGCTTTTCCGTTACTCCATCGTTTTACAGAACTGTAAAGCATTCGTGAAAAAGTGTTTAGGAAGTTGACAGGTTCCCCCAGCTAGAGTTGGCTAGAGTGAAACATCCACTTCGTGATGGGCCAAAGCAAAAACAAACCTCCACACGACTGGGCAAGACCGACTTGTCGGAGCACTCCTCGTCTGACGAGTCTATAATGTCGAGGAGCTGGGCCACCTCTGGCTAGAAGGGGCACACTCGATCGAGGTCCAGAGTACCCTCAGTAATCCAATATGCAATGCCTGCGAATGCCTACGAAGTCCAGGATTCATTCACAGCACCGCAAAACTTTATGTAGCACAGCAGGATGTGGCGGGAAGGGTGTCGCGAAGTGATTCCCAGCAGGAAAGGGATAGCAGGGATAGCAGTTTGCCAACCTTCTGGCTTCCCGTCAAAAGCACAGCCGTACAGAGCAATTCTGCCATCCTTCAGGGCTGTTTGCACCGCGAGCGGTCGATGCAGTGGATTCTTTGTCAAAACTCCGCAAGATAGTCGCCTTCTCGGTGCAAAGACTTCGTTCGGGTCTTCGGATGCCCTGCCCTGTATGGCGGAAACCGAGGGCCGGTCCATGCGCATCTTGCTCTCTCTAAGAACCTGTGAGAGGAACTGCGAGGCACTCCGAAGCGAAGCACCGCTTCGTCTGCACCTCCTCTTGGATGGTATTCATGTTTTGGTGGGCTGCAGTAGTGCGTTCCACGATGACGCCGATGAGGGCCTCGGAGGCATCTAGCGCAACGACTCGGTCTAACTTCCGGCCTTGCAAGTTGCAAAGCCTCGTCTTGTGCTGCGGCCCCTTGATGCTGAGCACAGCACATTCATGAGCCCAAAGCAGGTGACGCAGAGGAAAACCATCATGGGCACCACCATCAACGGATTGAACTGACGACGGCTGTTTCTTGAAAATTGCCTCTTCTTCGTCGCATGATGAAAATCGCTCGGATCTAAAGAGGGGCGCACCAGCATCTGCGGCCAAACCACTGTTGACCTGAAGCGGCGTGGGGCACCAGAAATGCAACCGACATCCCACCTTCCGGGAAAGCACTGCATGTTCTAAGTTGCGCACCATCCATCGATGAGGCAAACATTGAACAACCTGTGAACCAAAAGCCGGGGCAGATTCAGCATCTTGTCCATTGAAAAGTAAGGCCGGGCTGGTGAAAAAAATTACTGAAGCATGACCAGCGGCGTGAGCATTGTTCTTGGAAGCGACCCAAAGTACATCTCGTTGTCAATGCGATCTGCCCAGAAGCAGCAAGCTGGAGTGAAAGTCATCAAAGTGCCAGCACCGCACATGTGCTCAGCTGGGCACTCTAAACAGACCGAGTCTCAACCGAGTCGCGTCTTTCTCCAATCGGCAGGTGCATAGAAGTAGATGTGCAGAGGTCCATGGTTTACATCATTCACCGGGTTCCAGGTACACGACTGTAGAAGCCGGAATTGCCACAAATGAGATTGGAAAGACAGTAGTCGATTCGCTACTCGGAGGCCCTCGTACCTGCCAGCCCTAGGGGCTCTAGCGTTCTCTCGCCCCAAGCCAGGCATGGGCCTGCCTTGCTAGTCAGCTGCTCGTCGAACCGTAACGAACCATTTCATGTGTTCGTTTGGGATCTTGCGATGATGCGGTTGCATCTTCGCGGCGGGAATGGACGTTGACACACTCTGGCTTCAGTGTGCTACACAGAGCTCGTGCAATCCTAGGACGGTCTTCGAATGGCCGAAATGATGGACAGTGTCGGTGCAAAGCGGCTCGCCTTCGTAGTGGCTGTTTGACAGGTTGCCGAGGACGTTTCGGCAAAAAATACCAAATGCATAGATGACGATCAAGAGGAGGAAGCCTCTGCCACATTGAAAATGCAGCTTGTCTCCTGCGATGACAACATGACACCAGGACAAAGCCGCGGACCGATCCAGACCTGGGCTGAAGGGCATTTGTCCCTGTCCTACGCCCTGGGCTTAGTCGCTACATGACTCAGGACACGGCCATACACTGCAGAGAGCAGAAGAGTCCCTCGATGATAGCCTTGGCAACGACCACAACGCGTCTTCGATATGGCTTCAAATACAAACCTGCATACTTAGCTCACTGAGCACGAGCCTGCATTTAAAGAAGAGTGATGCTGCCTAGTGTGGACAAGTCCCGCACGACTAGCTCCCGTCGAAGACGCAGGAGCTTTGCAATCCTGCGGTGCAAGCCGAGGGTGTGGTGGTGTGCTTCATGGTCCAAGCCTATGCAAGCCTCACAGCCTAAAGCATCGGCGCAACCGTCACAGCCTTGTGCCAGTCCTGTCCTCATAATGCGAAGCAGCTGCATGACTCGAATAAGCTGCCTCGATTTGAAGCTTTCCTGTGCTTACAGCTACCTCTGGAGCAATGATATGCAAATTTATGCAACGATTCATGTCTGCCACAGTTGCTACACGTGTCATCCATGCATGCAATGCTGCATGAATTGGGCTGCGGCGTGTCCACCTCCGGAAAAAACCTGGTTGCGCCCACAGGCAAGATAGGCAAGCGTCTGTGCGAGCAGCGTTGAACAATGCTGGCAAGGAGCGTCAGGACCCAACAGTCCACAATGGCAAGGAGAACGATCACCTGCGGTCGGCTATGGTGGAATTGAGTGGAAGATACGAGTCGTACATCTAGCTCCCGGAAGGAGTCCTCTGACAAAGGAACTTTGCGATGTGATGTAGAGCACCTAGTCTTCATAGTTCTATCACGAGACCAAATTGAGGGTCGCACAAGATCCAGCAAATTCCAGAATTGAATGGAACGACTCTCGATCTCGGTAGCAGAGGTGCAGCCAGCTGGTGGAAGTCTGTGGCAGCAGGTCATGAACTTGCACGGGTCCAGATGCCGTTTGCAGTGCAACACTGGGTGCACCACTGAGTAGAAGTATCCAATCCCGAGAAAGTAGAGCTTCAACACCTCAACGCATTCGTCACACTGCCAAGCAAAAGACTGTGTGGGGCGGAAAGGGTGTTGGTGCATATCGTCGCGCCAGTGCCTGCATTGAGAGGTAAGGGTGGGGATGTAGGCTTTACCTCGGGATCGCGGCTAGCTCAACTGTGAAGATCGCCGTGAACATGTTCTCGCACACCAGCCAGATCCTGACGTTCGCAAGAACTTCGTAGGCACCCACAAATGCTGCACGCTCAGGGTCTGAGAAGCCCGAAGCTGGGGCACCCGGCAGATCCCACGGATCTCCACTTAAGTCGGCCTGAGAGCTTGCGTGGAGATGCCGGCTCTGAATTCGACTGCAACATGGCGGCCTGCAAGCCAAGGGTCATCGCATTCAGCATGATCGTACCTGCAGCTGCCCGAAATGGGCTCTGCAACTTGTCAGAAAACAGGTCTGCAAGCGCTTCGTTCTGAATGTTGCATTCTTCCCGATTCTGCGCAGAGCATCAGCACGTGCGCATGTCCCCACATGAAGGGCGCCGTAAATGAAGTTCTGGAAGAACACGCTTTCGACAGGAGTTTCCGATTTCGGCGGCTCCTCAAAGCACGACTCAGTGACCCAGCAAGGACCAACTGACCCACTTGCGCCTCGATCTTCTTCCTGGCGCGTGGATTGCACGTCGCGGCACTCCCGGCATGCACACAATCGTCAACACAACAACCGCAGCCATACTCTAGCAGGTGGCATTGTAGCAGGAGGGTCGTGCACCGAAACTGCCTGGAATCTACAAGCACCCCAATATGATACTGCAAGTTTCCCGTTTTGCTGCAGAATCTGCTGCCATACAGTGCTGGTAGCAGCCATGCACAACAGTGCACCTCCCCACAATGTTGGATACCATGTCCTCGACCGTCTTGGAGGCCTGTCGATTTTCCGTTCAGCACAGCCGGCAAAGCCATGTACAAGCGTCTTCTGAAACACATACAAACCCATTCGTTCAGAGTGTCGCCTTGATGATCTTTTGAGCCTCTCTCGTGGAAATTCGGGTCATCAACGCCTGCATGCAAAACTCTGAGAAGTGTCTGGGAAAGGCTCCGAAATAAAGTCTGCCAATCGGCTCAGCATCTGCGGGCATTAGCATAGCATCAAACCTACACAAAACGATGTTGTGCATCCTGCGACGGCCTGGAGGTGCCACACCGTGCTCTGCTTGGAATCGGACGTATGCGAAGCGGCAGTTCGGCAGTTCGGCACAGGTCACATTATCAAAGCCGTTCGAAAAGAACCAAGGAAGGCTGCCTGCGGAATTCGCTGCGTCTGCTGGGTGCGCCGAGCCGCATGCAGCCCTGCAGCCTCGGATCCGGTCAAAGCAAAGGCCCCCTAAGCTTTAAGCCCTTTTAATGCCCTTTCAGCCCTAAGTTCAAGTCTTCTGATCTCCCTTCCAAGCCTGCACTGCACGGCAACTCTGGACGGGAATGCCGAGGGCCTCACAAAGGCTGGCTGCGACACCGACATGGCCCTGCCTCTTCCGGCCTGGGCTGTCGTGTGAACTAGGGCAACTACGTGATTTCTTCCCTTTGTAGATCCGGCGATGGAGCCCATGGGGACCGGACCAGGTCGCGATCGGACGCCGAAGTTGTGCTCACGTGCACAAGCAACTCCAAGTGTGTCTATCTGCCCTCTGTATGACGACATCTCCGCGGAACCCTGCCAAAGTCTTGGCAAGAAAGAGAACCTAGCAGTATGTCTGCAGCTTTGCTCACATTGAAGAACCACCTCCCTTGCCGAGGCCTGGCGGCTTGAGCCTCTTCCTGATGCCGTCACCCTTCCACAGCCAGCCAGAATGCACTCATGACCAGCACGGATGCATTGCAAGATGCTTTCTTGATGGCGAGCTTGCCCGCAGTCTCCAGTAACCCCTCTGAAGTGCTCGCGATCAAACACGACATGGCAGAAAACTCAAAAAACTGATTGCCAACTGAAGCGCTGTCTGCTGAAATCTCAGCAGCTGCTTTGTCTTCAGCTTTCGCCGTCCGTCGGACAGCTGACACAGAACACACGAGGAGCTCCGGGTCCCTCTGTACCGATCTCCGACAACCGTTAAATCTCACCATGCTCAGCCGCACAGCCGCAGAGCAACAGCGGAGCGGAGGAGCACCTTTCAAAGCAAGAGCATACGGCCAGCAGTTCATGGTGAGTGGTTTGCCATGAGCACAAGGGCACAGACCTTGGACGGCTCTACTAATCCTCATGCAGCCATGTAAGCATTGACGAACGGAAGTTGTAAGGCAGCAAAGCCGAAGCACCTTCGCCTTGAAGAAGTCCTTGCGAGCTTTGATGTCAATCCCATGCTCTGCCAGCGAACCTGGCCCGTGAATGCACCCACAGCGCCACATTCCCTGCTCAGGTCTTCCATTCAAGCTGACTGCACGTGCGTGCATGGAAGCTACTAGACCCATGTGTCGGATGGAGTTATGAGTCGGGAAGCTGGGTTGCCGACCCATTCGGAACCTGGTCGCACGGCCAGATGCTTTCCCAAGTGATTCAGTTCTGTTCGGGCACAATTGCGACAGCGCCATCGCTCCCCTTCAGGCCGGCTTGTCCAGACACACTGGCAAATCCGTGACCACCACCATTCTCTGACCATGCTGCCCAGGTGTCCAGCCTCAGACGGCCGCATCAGCCGCCCACAGCGGACCAGCTGTGGTGCATCCTCGTGTGTGCTGTCTCTGGGTCAACAGTTTGGGATTGCAAGATGCGCTCGATAAATGCACGCGGCCTGATGTCAAAGCATACTCTCTGGACTGCGGCAGGGATGCTCGTCCCAGGAGTCCTTGAGTTCAAGCGGCAGCAAGCGTCTTGGCCGCAGCAGCTCTGCATCCATGTCCATGAAGACCCGCAGCTCCTCATGGAACTTCGGACAATTCTGTGCGAGGATGTGCAACTAGTGGGCACCATGCCGCATGTTGCATGAGCCCGGCTCAACATGCATAAACCTACTTTCTTGTAAGACTATCCTGCTTTCCAGCATGCGGCGGCTGGGCCATGAAAAGCGACAATACCAGACTGTCAGCATGGCAAGAAGACGAAACAAGCCTGAAGCTCGAAACCCATTCTCTAGCACGTCATAGCACGTCATAGGTCTTCCCAAAGCGGTCGGCAACAGAAGGACAAGAACAGAGAACTGTAGGTGAAGGCAGTGAATGAAGTCCTCCTCACTTCTGGCCAGGTGTCTGTTCAACTCCTTTCAGGAGGACAAAAAGAAAATGTGAGTTTGCATCAGGCATGGTAACTAAACCGGTACACATCCTCCAGGCCACTCACCACAGCTGATCAACGACTGCCTTGCTGCCACAGCGAGCCTCTGGGGTCGTCAGTTGAACGCCCGTGGGGTCCTTCACCTTCGAGCCACCATGCTACTCGAACTGTAGAAGGCCATAACAAGGCACTGTGTGGCTTTGGAGCCGTCCGGAGCATGCGTCTTCGTTTGGACGACTACCTTGCGCTGGGCTGGCCTCTGCGGTGTCCTGCGGAGCGTCACCATCCTACGCAGTTAGATGACACAGGGATCAAGCGACTCGTGCAAACACTCATTCGGGCAAGAATACAGAAAAAGCAAGCCTCACATACGGGTCTTACTCCCTATTCATGCAGATTGCAGTCCTGCGGATCGAATATTCTAGCCGCTACAACACTGTGATTCGGACCTAATTACAAGCACGGCTCCTGTGAGCATCCCGTGTTATCCCATGTTAGTATTCAACTGATACAAGCCGGTTGTGGGTGCACATCGCCTCGAGGCCTAACACGGCACGGAGCGCCCCGCGGCGCTGTTCGGCAGTGGCTTGCCGGAACCTCGGGAAAAGAGCACATCTTGTAAAGCGTGCCATACACGCGTGCGGAGCACGTATCGCTTCTCAAGGCATTTGAGGTGCTTCGTAGCCTTCATCACTATGACGTCATCTTCTTGATCTCATCTCCTCTTTCTGAACATACTTTTGGCTGTTCATAAGGTGCCACCCTTCGCCGAGTATCGCGCATAACTCTCCTCTCAACCGATGACGTTGCAGACCTACGTCAGTTACCGTATGCGCAGCTCCAAGGTGGCTTGGGTCTTGGGTGTATAGGAATGTGGCTAAATCATGCTAAATATGCGATCAGATGTCTCGGTACGTGATACATATTTGGCAGTACAATTCCCTGTATGAAGGTGCGGGCTTCATCACCGCACCAGAACAAACAACTATCCCAAGCTCTCTTGCATTTGCATAGGCTCGGCTTCCCACATACCAGCTCCGAGGATCTTTTGCTCCATTTGCAGCTTGGCCGAGCACCGCTCCACCATGTGCCTCTCGACCTGCCAAGCTCTCCGAAACGAGGGATGAGAAGAAGAGGGGTTCTAGTTGCTGCCAATGTCTAAGCCACGGGCACGGGATTGTGAGATGAGTCTAACCTTCACAGCACATGGCCGCAGCCATTACTGGTCTCGCAAGATCATCTCGAAAGGTCAGGCGCAATGTACATGCATCGAAGAAGGATCACATGCTACCTTTAGTTAGCATGCAGGCTGGGACAACCGAGTCACAAGCAATTCGGACTTCGCGAGTTTGGCCCACACGATGCACCCGAGCAACGGCCTCGAGAAACAAGTGCTCAGATTCTCCTTTTATTTCTGGCTGATTCGACAGCTGGCAAAGCCAGACCTTCTAGTCCACTGCTTGCAAACTTCCTTGCGATGATCAAGCCACTCAGGCCCGTCTCTCGTTATGCAAGGGCACGTCAAGAGGTGTTGCAAAACATCACGGTTGTCATGACCGAGGCAAAGAAATGTGATAACAGCAGCTGAGGCAGTAAATGCTAAAAGCCTGAACTCGAAAGCCTTAGCTGTTCGAAGCTGACCTTCCGTGGGGACAAACATCTTTAGCATGCTGCAAGTTAGACCGTCATAGCTATCGTGAATGTGCGCCCCGAACATGGGAAGTCCACTCTTGCATTTCGCGGGGTGCAGTAGACAGCAAAAAAAAAGGAATCTAGCTCGGATTCAGACAGGAGTCTTAGACAGTCTTGGAGACGAAACACATGTTTGAAATGTTTCTGTAACTTAGTGCCGACATGCTGTACACAAGACCAATCTGAGTCTCAGGCCTGCTTGTCATTTTGAGGATTCCAGTCGAGGTCGAAAAGCACAACCGTGTCAGCCTCGGCACGAGCTCCATTCGCGTTCCGTGAGACCGCACTGCGTGTTCCACCTGGGGTCCACGAGGCGCCCACCGCCTGCAGGTTCAGCCCAAGGCCTCCAGCCCGGGAGGACCTTTGACAGAGCAACCCGAGCATTCACCCCACTTGGGCACGAGGCACGAGGCCGCGGCAGCAAGAAGACGGGCACAGCCTCGTGCTCGAAGCGCTTGAGGCGAGCGAGACGCTCCGTGTGAGGCACCTTCCGTCGTGCAGCGGTTGGCCAGCAGGCTGCAGGTGACCCCAAGAATCTTGCAGCCTGCCCATCAATGCGAACAAAGTCAATTTTCTTCCACTCCAGGTAATCCTCCAAGACCGTGAGAGCGACTCATAAACCCTCGTTGTGGCCACACCACAGAATGAACGTCATGCTCGAGTGGCCCTATCTTCTTGGCCTGGAGAATGTCCAAAGCACTGGTGAATTGTGAGAAGATGAGCACCTGCGAATTTCACGCGAAGCGCAGTGGAGATGAAGTTTCTGCAGGCCAGTAGACACTTTACTTTTGCATGGCGACAGTCTGAAGTTAATCGCCGGCAGTCCTTGTGGTCGAAGCGCAGCAGCTTTGGCAGCATGCGATCCAAGGTTTCGACCTCGTAACATCGGGAAGCACATCGTTTGCGTCTCGTTTCGGCACAAGTAGTCTCGTGGATCCATTAGGACCAAGAGGTGCGAGGAACATTTGCCTGCATTTCGCTGCATCTCGGTAGTTCGCGTTTACCTGCGGTTTCGCCTACTGTTTAAGATGTTCCAAGGCCCTCCACCTGAGCCTGCAACACGCAAAGAACGACGCGGCTGTGAGGCAGGATTCTAAACTATGAGTACCTGCCCCCCAACCTGGCCTTGCCAGAGGTCCGAAACAAGTCGGCATCTTTTCCGTAGCTCTCCTGAAAAAGATACCTCGCACACAGGCTCGGCTGCGGCAATGGCACTCACTCCCTCCAGTGGGGTAGAAGGAAGAGGCAGTCTTGACGCAAGCGCAAATGAGCGGAAACCAAAATCAGAAACGCCCGACGAGGGCACGGATGCAAGACGATCTTACGAAGCTGCATGAGGACATTGTTGACCTTGGCATGTTCCACACTGCAGTGACATGTCAGGACAGACCCGATTGCACTACAGGGTCCTAACACAACGAGCTAGCTGCCGCGCCTGTTCGGTCGTGACGTCCACACTCTCCCGCAGGAGTTTGAGAGTCTTCTTCTCCAGATCCCTGTACCTGTCAATCTGAGACGATGACACAGCGTTTCTTGCAGACTCCTTGAAAGCCCAAAGGGCACGCAGATTCCTGCCATGCGCTCAGAGGCACTGTGACCATCACCTGCACGCATGATTTTCGGCTGCTGCCAAAAGATTATCTCGGCCCTGACAACCTCAAGAGTCGGTCATCTCTATAACTGCTGCTGCCGCCGCTGCTGATCCTGCTCGTGCGCTCTTGCTCCTGCTGCTGTGCTGCTCCTCCTCCTGCTCCTGCTAGCACCACTGCTACTGCCAGGCAAGAACCACTGCTGCTGCACTTGCTTTCGCTGTTCTTCGTACTCACTCTACAGCTACAATATAGGTAATTACTATCGCACAAACCATACACAGACATCATCAATGTTTGCCAACACCATCACCCAACATCACCAGTCACTGTGATCGGATCCTCTGGCACGCTTCGCTTTGCATGCCTCCTTGCGTGGAGGGAGGTGTCGACCAAGAACCTGACATGACAGCACAGTTCACATCCCATAAGTTCCCTTCTTCTTCTTCTGCTCTCTTCTATGTACTTTGGCAAGACTGGGAACTGATGAACAAATTGAACAAAGCATGGATTCAATGCGTTGCTTCCCATTCCATCTCATCGGCAGTCGCTTTCAGTGTTGCATGCAAGCGCTTGGTTCTTTCTGCCTCTGGCTGTCTCGTCATGCCATTGAGTCTTTTCATTCTTCTGGGCTGGTGGCAATACACAGCGGCAACGATGAGCTCAAACAGAAATGCGAGAAACCGCTCTGCACGGCCTCCGCCTTGAGCCGCTGGAGCAAGAAGGGGGCAAGCAGCGCATGCGTCTGGGCACAGACCTGGCCAAAGCCAGAGCCAGAGCTCCGAATCCACTCACGAGGACCCTCCGAACGGCACCTCTTGCTCCTGCTCTGGGTTCAGCTGCCTGAGTCTACTGCTTTCTGCGGTTTTGAGGCCAAGGACCTCCCCTTCAGCCGAGCTGCACCTCGAACTCGTTCATGCCTGAGCCCTTGAATGGACTTGCGAACCAGGCCTTGCGTGCTTGGCTCGGAGCTTTTACAGCTTGCCATAGCAAGCACACAGACTCCACGCGGCCTTGAAATCCAGCATGTTGGTGAAAAGATCCGGGAGCAAGTAGTGCAAAAGAGCCCAGAGTTCCGAGATGCCTCATGGCGTAGTCATTCACAGGGCTCCACTGCGTGACTCGCATGGTGCTCAAGCAGCGAATTGCGGCCGTCGTTTGTGATCTTTTTCCGCTCGCTCCACATCCAGCAGAAGGTCAAGGACGGCCTGCATTTTGCAACAAACCGCTCCTTTGATTCTCCAAAGCCCTCGTTTCGGCCTCCGGAGGCTTCTCATCGCAGTAGCGCGCCTCTCGCAAACACAAGCATTCGAGAGGAGCTACGACATCTACGAAGAGTCTCAATGGATCTAAACGGATTCCTTTTCACGCGCGATCGTAGCTACAGACTGTTGAGCATGATGCTTGCTGGTTTCAAAAGAGCTGGGGTTCCACCTAGGAGTCCGGAAGCACATCCAGGTCCGAACTGAAAACAACCCATGGCTGTGCCTCCGTCAGCGTCGCTGGCAGTGCATGCTGCGGACCGCCGCTGCCTGGACAGCCCCGCACCACAAGGGAATTCCTGCTCGCCGGGTTCTTGGATGGCCACCCAGGGTTCCAAAAGGCTCCAAACCTGCTCTTGGGGTCCCTGTGGGAAGATGGGGCTCCGACGAAGCAAGAAGTGCAATGAGTTGGAGATGACCCCTGGGTTCGCTGCCACCGACCTGAAGGATGGCACGCTGCCATGAGGCAGGGTATGCACAGCAACTCAACCATCTTCCATCTCTGACGGCAGCTCACCAAGAACAAGCTGCATGCGGGGACTTCAATCTCTCGGTCAGCATGGAGACGTTTCAGGGATCACAGCGCAGCTGGGCGCGAAGCCGCAGGACCCGTGGTCGGTCGTACACACCGGTTGTGTGCAGCACCTGGCTGTGGCAGCACGGCTTTTGGAGAGCTGCTGAAGCTTCGGACAAGAACCCAGGCAAAACAGAACCATCGGTCTTGCAGGACGGCAGCTTGCAACCTACTTGCTCAGACTGGTGCAAATTTGCCGCGCACCTCTGCAACGGAGAAGCGCTGGAGTGCTTGACGGCAGCCTCCCTGCAAGCTTGGCGTCGGGTGAACGATCGCTCTGCTACAAGATCCGGCACCGTGCGTTTGCTTCAACGATCTTGACTGCACTACATGTGCTGCCTTGCACGGGTGTGCATCGCAGAAGCCGATCCCAAAGTCGTCCAGCTCGACCACCACACAGCGCGTGCCTTTGCCGTGGCCAAAGTCACTGAAGCGTTGTATTGGCATGGATTGATTGTCACAAAGCCACATCCCCCAGACCAACCCGAAACCACCTCTGGTGCCGATCGCGTACAGAACATAAACCACCACTTCACATGGAACCCACACAAGCAGTCTGATAGAACGCTACCTGTAACTTTGACAGACAAGCAAGCGAGATTGAATGAAAGGCCCTGTTCCCACCGAGGTTTGCTGCAGGATGTCACACACCCCTCCATGCATGACGTGTGTAACCCCACTGATTGTCAAGAAGTCGGGCTCACCCAGAAAAACAGAAAAATGGCAATCACCCCCACCTCAACATGCTTGAATTGACATTCAACAGACTCCAACCTAAGCGTTTTTGATGCTGTTCGAACCAGCGATTCGTGAGGCACAGTGGCGTACGATGCTGCTCAGATTCAGAGCGTTGCCTCTCGCAACTCGTGTTCCGTGAACATTGACATGTCCAGCCACCTGTTGCCATGGCTGGCGTCGGCAAGCGCAACAATGCTTCCAGCTCCGCATGGACCGAGAAGCACCTGCCGCAACTCGTGGCTGTGCAGGGCCAGTGGCAGTCTCAACACCAAGATGAATTCACTGCGCAATAACATCACTGTGTTGCAAGAAGCGTTCGCGTCCGCAGAGCATGAACACAGCCTGCCCGAGACGAGGCGGATGTCTCGGTTGCAGCCGACGCTGAGGACCTTCGACAGAAAAGCGTGCTCAGAGCACAAGACTGGCGCTTTGCCTATCAAGACGAGACTGACCGTCTGCTGCAACATCGCACTCCATCGCGCCTCGTCTCCCTTCAGCACCGCCCCGTGGCGCCCCGTCCGGCTGGAGCCCGCCTCGAGCAAGACCCGAGAGGAAAAAAAAAGCGGTGCTGTGCTTTGCGCTCTTGTATGCTGTTGTCTCTGTCTCCGTCTCTTGGGCCTGGCATGCTGCCCTGGCCGCCAGTTGCACCTCGACTTCACTCTGGCTCTGAACTTGATAAGCCCAGGCTGCACGAACCCCTCAGGAAGTGTCTGACTCCGCTTCTGGCGTCATCATCTCTTGCCTGAGGCCAGGGCTCGGAATCACCAAGAAGCCCAGAAGCCCCAGCTGAAAACCGAGCCTGGAGACTCCGAGTTCTGCGCAGCAGAACTCCAGGAGCCCAGGCTGCAGCATCTCTCCGAGGCCCATCTTGCAGCGCTGCGCCGCTGCAAGCAGAGCCTGCCAGGGCACCGAGAGTCTCAAGATTGGACCAAACCTAAACCAGATCCACAACATCGAGATGCGGAAGCCGACCTTGCAGATCTCTTTGGCTGCATGACGAAACTCCCTTCCCGCCAGGATGCAGCCAGCAAGCCTTGACAGCAAACAGCCCTTGCCACGTGCTGCAGCGATGCAGCGATGCAAATTCGTCAATCTCAGGCTTCGGCAAAAATGCAAGCGGTTTCGGTCCCAGCGACAAGCCTTTGCGCTGAGCCTGGCAATAAAACAGACGTCCGCATGATGTCAAGCGAGATGGTGGAGACAGTCGACATAGCTGCATTGCTGACCTTGTCCAATGCCACGAGGCCCAACCTTCGTGTGTCAACATGACAACTCATGCCCATGGACATCTGCTTCAACTGACCCCATCTGGATCCATCCCGGATCAGGTGCCACGTGCACGAGCTCCGGACTCTAGGCGGTGGTTGGCTCCAGTGATCTGTTTCTGGGCAATCTGGGCCAGCTCAAGCCAAAGATTTTCCACTCCAGCAAGCTCTCCGGGCTGGTGAAAAAAGTCATGCCTGAGCTTCATGCCTGAATAGCCTGAAACATCGGCAGCCTGACGACGGCGAATCCCCGGAATAGAAGCACATAAACTCCGATAACGAAGGCTACAAAGCAGCTTCTAGTTCACAATACACTGTAATGCCAAGGCCTCCTAACCGCCTGGATCGCCTGGCTCCGACAATTGCAGGGACCGGCCTTCCCTCACCACTGGATCGCAGCATTGATGCCACCTGCGCAACAACAACATCAGATCAGCTTTTCCGGAAACGTCAAAAGCAGCACCATGCATCGAATCCTGTTTCAACGCATTGCTGTGCAAGTACTGCAAGCCGTTCGTTGCACCTCTTCCGCCAGGCTCTCGGGGGCCTTCGTGCGCGAATATGCAAACAAGTCTGGGCAGTCTCTGTCCACGAGACGACGGGATACGACGCGGTAGCTGCAAAGGCAGATCTCCCGCCTCCAACCGGAGTGCTTTTTGCAGGCAGCTTGACAGTGCCGGCACCTCAACCTGACGAACTCAACCACACGCACTGCTCCACGCTGTCTGCCACTTTCAAGCGCACCTCATTGATGAATTTATGTTGCAGTCCACCTGCCACAGCAGAGACCTTGACTCAAAACACACCCTGTATGGACTTCACTGCCGGTTAGTTCGATGTCATCGCGCCTCTCTAACGAAATTCTGGATGCAGGCCCTGTCTGATGCCACCTTACAGAGCTCAGTCAGCTGTGAGTCATGGTGTCCTGCAACCGTGACACACATTTTCACCTCTCAGCCGCAGAAATTCACTCAAAAGGAATGCTGGGACGTGGACACCGCAGGCGAAGAAAAGCGAGTCCAGCCTCGCATCTTCCGTCCAGCCAGAAACCACAAGCTATAATCTACTGAGCCACCTGGCCCCTGAACAGCATCGGGCGCAGCGAGCTCCTGGGCGAAATCCCGGTGCAGACAACCGGGGTTGCTTCCGCAGAGGATCGCTGATTGGCGTCCGAAAACCTAGACCCCAGACAAATCAGCCATCTACAGACCAGCCCAAACGGACAAGGTGGATCTGCCGTGCAGCGGCACATCTTCAGCGTCAGCACAGGTAGGGCACTTACTGCAGCTGGGGGTTTGAAGAGCACCATGTGGCCAGAAACGGCACGGGGCGTTCGGTAAAATACGGCCAGCTGCAAACAACGGCAACGACACAGGGATGCGCACCTCGTCCGCTTTTCAGGGCTGCCACAGCTGGCACAAGATATTGTAGCGCTGGACACAACATCTCGTTCGCACGGACTAGTACGGAATCAAGCCATGTAACTCTGCTCTTTGAAGACGCAAAAAGCTGTTCTGAGTGTCGATTCCAAAGACAGCTTCAGATACGCAATCAACTTCATTTATGAATTCATCAGCAAAGGACATCCTGCACCTGTACGAGATTGCTGATCCCAGTGGGGCTTGTCTATGTCGGCATGAAACTCAGCCTTCTGCATCAGGCCTTGAGTTCTCAGACCCGTAGCTTCCCTGTAGAGTGTCATCTCGTGTTAGTTTGTGAGTCTGCCCTCAATGGTCAGCACACTCTCCAATCGTCTCCGCAGCATATACTTCCATGGATGCATCGATTTGGATGGGGCAACGCCAAGCACAAGTGCAACCTGAGGCTCCAGCGCTTTCCAATCGCCGCAAAGACTCCAGCCCACGACAAGACGACAGCAACGCCCGTGCCTAGCACGAATCCCACACCGAAACCCACCAGGTGCTACTCTCCTGCCGAACGTCCGCCTCGGCTTCCATGGGACCCTCCTGCCGTCTGAGCCGATGCTCGCAGCACATGACAATGCAACTCCTGCGCATGCTTCCATCCCCCTTGTGCTCCGGCCCTCGCCTTATGCAGGAGCCTCGCTTTCTTTGGTGGTACCTGATTCAACTGATCAAACTCGGTTTCTCTATGCGTCTCGCGCATCCCTATCTGTGACTCGCAATGGCTGCACAGTTTGCGCTTTGCTGGAAACGAACCGCGACAGGGCCAGGGCACCAACCACCGCGCTGGCATTAGGCCATGGCTTGAAGGACGTGCTCCTGACCAGCTGCACTTTCCGCCCTCGAACGGCCGCAGGAAGCCCGCGCTCAGGCCGTGACTGGCCCTGCGGGGCACCCTGAAGGAACGCGTCGTCGCCGGCCTCGGTTAGGCTCTCCGGCCATGTCCATGAAAAAGGCATCCGAGACGCACTGGCGTCGGAGTCTCCAGCCTTTGCCGTAGAAACATTGGAACCTGCCAACCTGGCCATTCCACGAGAGTGCGCCACGGCTGCGCTACTATGTTGCGGCCTCCGGGCCACTCTGTAGGCGAGAACATCTCAAGATGGAGTGGCCAATTCTTGCGGTGCTGCTGAGCTCGCCTCTTGGCTCTTGAGGAAACTCAGAGAACTGCAGCTAAATGCTTTTGCTGAAGGCTTGCTGGCTTGCTCCAGTGCGCTCTTTCGATGTGCTTAGGGCTGAGGGCCAGATGGCAGCGTCCCCTCTGCACTGCAAAGCTCCAGATGCATCCGCGCACAAGCCAAGACTCTGCCGAACCAATAGTCAAACATAGTCCAACGGTCAAACGTGTCTCCCAGGCAAGCTGAGTGAAGGGTTTGCGTGCCGCAGCAGCTAGCACACGGCTCGGCAAACGTAGCTTCGCATATGAAAAAGCACCATTCAATGCTGGCCATTTGGCCAGCATTGAAGTGCTTGTTGGAGGTGTCAGGCGCTTGCAGCCCGCCCCTTCAAAGTAAACATGCACTGCCGGGAACTTCGCTGGGCAACTACGCGTCCTGGTGGCTCTCTGAGTCTGATGAACCATGGAAGAGTGGCGCATAGCTGGCATAGCTGCATTGCTCCAGGAATGATCCGTCGTTGTTGACCCTGGCACCTTTATTGGTCGTCAGGCGTGGAGGGCTCATCTTTACGAGGGAAAGCGTCGTAGTGGTCGAAAGCCTGACTCAATGGGTTGCAATAGTTGGCCTGCCAGGGGCCAAACTTGGGCATTCAAAGTGGGTGATCCTACGCGACCTCGACTAATTAACATGAACACCCTGAGAACTGGACACACAACCCTACCAGCCGCACCTGCCAGGACAAGAACAGGAACCACACGATGCCCCAGCTGCCCTGCAGAAGCGCAGCATGCAAGCGCCGCCAGTCCCCGACGCTACTGTCCTTTGGAGAGGCATGGAACAAGACGTCATGGCTTTTGTCTAGTAGCACGAAACAGTCAACTCGGCTAGCAGGGTCGCAAACGAGCCGTGCTGGAAGAGACCAAACAGAAAACAACACATGCATGAAAGCGGTCAAGACTGAAACACAGATGCAGCAGGGAGAGGCACCGAACTGTTGAACAGTGACGGCACAGCACATTCCCAAACAATTTGATGAATCCCTTCTCAGATCTCACCTGTGCATAGCTGCAGCTCCAAAAGTCGATGTCAGCCGAGAATCCTCTTTGCCCAGACCCACAGGTCTGCGAGGCCAAGGAGGAACGTTCAGGTCGGCCACACTTCTTCGATCCCTTAGAGAAGCTTGGTTCTTACTGAAGCTTTTCCAACTTGCCACCTTGATGTCTGCTACCCGCCACATGCCAATTGCCGTCCCTGTCTATGGATGAGACAAGCCTCTCCCCAAACTCGAAAACATGTCTCTCCATTGCCTGCAATGATTCCAACGTTTGAAAGCGCTCGCCAGAGCCATCTGCACAGCTTGTCTGAAGAAAGGCCTCCTTCTTCCGCAACAGCTGCCACTCGAAATCGCTCAAGAGCATGCATCCTGTGGGCAATCCCTGTCGAATAAGCTCTTCATTGACAGCAGTTGCAGCAGCATCGTCCAACGCAACAATAACATCGTGCTCACGCAATGCTTCCTGGCTCAAGGAAGCCCACATACCAGCACCCAGCTTCCGGAAAATCTGCTGAAGCTCCTCTGAGTCCATCCCCACGTTTTGGGCGAACTCAGAGATGCTGTCCTTGACCATCCCGGCTTCCGAGAAAACCTCTGAGATGCCGTCAGAACTGTCGGGCTGCTCGCGCGACGAGCAAGCGTAAAACTCCAGGACGCGTCCCATGCCGTTCCACTCAGCGGCAGCATCTGCCAGGCGCTGGGCCAAGCGTGCACGGACGTATCCCGGAGTCTGAGCCGAGTCAACGAAGAGGACGGAGACGAAGCATCGCGTCCAGTCAAGTCCCGAGGACAACGCATTGAGGCGACCAGAGTGCCAGTCGTCGATAGGGCTTGCAGAGCTCGAAGAGCTCGAGCTTTGGCTCTCCAAGCTGCATCGGGCCACACTTCCTCTACGGTGTCTGCGTCGAGATCCCGCTAAGAGCAAAGGGGCATTGCCCAGTGCCGTGAGGGCCAGCGACCTGGGGCCACAAGCAAAAGAATGCAGATATAATTCACGCCACAACGCCATGCATGGGCACGTCTTGCCTCAGCTGCCCCGCCTTGGCCTCACCTCCTTTGCGCTGCGAGCTTTCGGCCGGCTGGGGCCAGGGCCCAGGGAAGGTGTGCTGACCCACTCTCTTGCCCTTGCAGTGCCATGGTCACTGCCCAGGCCCAGTGTACGTTGGGCTGGGCAGGCTATCATCTGCTTCTCGGCAGCGCTTGGCTTAAGGCCGGCTATCACTTCCCGAGGGTTTGGTTTGATAGGCCAGGGTCAGTGGCACGGCTTCGGTCCTGCAATACCCTGCATGCTCTGATCTACTCTGCACCCTGTTTCATATTTGTGGTGGAAAGGCTCATGCAAAGATCCATAGATATTGCCACGGAGTAAACAGCTTCATGAGATAGTTCTTCCGAGGCTCCAGCTGTTCTGAAGCGGAGTGCCAGTCAAAAGCAGCCGCATTCGACACCTCGCCAGCATCACACGTCTGCGGGATATGGATCTCTCAAAGCTATCTGCGTTCAGCTGAACCGCCAAACCGAACTAGACGGCCTGAGCTTCGTCATGGTTGTGTGCAGCAAGGTCTCGGGATTCTTGAGCCGGTGCCCTGCATCCAGGGAACGACTGATTGCCCGTGGAGCCTGTAGCTTCCCGAAGCCTTCATCCACGATCACAAGCTGCCAGTCGGTCTTCATAAGGAGTTCGTTGCGGTGAACCTGCACAGTCTCTGCACGCGCAAAGCTCTGCATCGCTGCCCTGTCCTCTCTGTCACAAGTGGCCTGCTCGTAGTTGGTGACACAAACCACGACCTGCCACCCGCACGCGGAAGATTCTGCATGCCACGAGGGCTCTAGTTACTCTAGTTGGACATAACTTGTTCAAGAGCGGCAGACCTGGTTACCACGCAAGCTCCGTTCAAAGGCCGATAGCTCTGCCTCTCGCGACTCCTTCGCTGGAGAGAGCTGCTGCAAAGGGTGTGCAGGAGTCTTCAGATCATGACAACCTATGCCTTGCGAACTCCGACAAGCATGCACTTGCAGAAAGGGATGCCTGGTCCCCAACAAGAACATGCACCGCCACGGATGGCGCAAAGCGATAGAATTCGGCCTGGCAGCCGGGCAGCATCCAGCCACGCAGCAACAGGGCTTGTGCTGTGAGCATGTCGCCTGCCAGTTCCCCAAGCAAGATTTCGGGGCGACGACCAGATGTGGCCCAGCGTTCTGCTTGCGCTCCTGGCCATGGCACAGTTTCAGCCCTTCCCCGGAAGGAGCTCCCAAGCACCCCTTCCTGCAGATGGAGGAGCAGAGCGATGGACTGTATCGTTTTCCCAAGGCCCATCTCATCCTTCACAAGCTTCAGTCTCAGTTATTCTGGACTCACCAAGGTCCGATTCGGTGCCCTCGGCCGACTGGGCAAGCGGCCGCTAGGATACCATGCAGACCGTTCACCTGACGACTGTGGACTGCACAAACCAACGACGCAAGCGACGCAGCAGTTCTGGGGAAGCTGCATAAAGCGAGGCGAGCCATTCCAAGCCCTCAACCTCCAGGCGTCAGAGGATCGGAGGAGTTTCTGCGGCTCCCTCGCCGGTCCAGGCCTGGTGGCTGAGCAGCTCGGCCCGGAGGCTTTCCGGAGGCGATGCATCCGGCTCCTGCACTGGGTTCAGCCAGACGGCGCTGATGCTTCCACGGGCGCTACAGCCTGCTCTTTGTGAACGATTCTCGTGTAGAGCTCGCGCCGATCGCCAGGAGATGTGCTGCGAAACTCCTGGCACTGCAAGGTGGAATGTGCGCAGCTATTGTGTTCAGTGTCGTGTCTGCCAATTTCAGATCCCATGAGAGAGAAGGCAACACAAATCGTTGCCTCGAGTGCTTCCGGGCTGCGCCGCCGGAGCAGCTCCTCGGCATGTCCTTGCGCCGGCCAGCATCGGCATATCCCTGCTGCACTTCTTGTCAGCTTCTCTCGTCCTTGGATCTCTGCCAGGACCTCTTCGAATCTGCGCTTCGTCATCTCCACCAACTTGGCCTGACAGAAGTATGTTCCAAGGCGTAGGCCTGCCATAAAACAAACATGGAACTCGTTACAGGCAAAACCAAGGGGGGGAGCTGCAGCGGCTTCAGTGATTCAATACGGGCCCTGCCTCTTCGGCCTTCCTCTCCTTGGCTCTCTCCTCATAGCTCAGCTTCCTCCTGGCGAGTGGCGAGGGGTCCATGTGCAAAACACAAGGGACGGGGTTCAAGCATCTGCCTCTTGCCATCGAGGGCCTAGGTAGAGGTGCACATCATATGCGGCTCCTTCCTGGCCTGCTTGAAAGCCTAAGACAGATGCGTTGTCATCTGCAGGTGTCGTGGTCTGTGGCCTCGGCGTTGGGGCTGGCTGATGAAGCGGCTGGCAATTGATGTAGGCTTCAACCATCTCCCTAAGCCATCAACAGTGTTCCTGCCGTTCGCTTTGCAGACGCCTCGATTGGCAAAAAATCAATCATGGACACTCGCTGTAAACCTCAGCTCGATTCCTTCTGCACCTTCCAGATGTCGATTGCCTTTCCAGAGAAGAGAAATAGCCGTGAAGCAAAGGCAGACTGCACCACACTGCACCTCTTGCCTTCTCCACGGCCTCGGGCGTCAGCTGCTGTCCTGATGGCGTGACCCGGCGCTCTTGAGCCCATGCCTCTCCAAAGTCGGGGCTGACAGTGTCTCTCACGGTGGCAACATGTGGCAACCGGTGAGAACGCAAGGACGGTATCTACGATGATGCCAAGTCCAACTATCGAGGCTGTCGCTGTCAATGCCTGCCTGCCTGCAACGTGTCGCAGCTGCCCGCATCGCCCAGGCGCTCCGCGACGATCTCCAAAGCCTGCAGCCACTCATGTAGGGATGCGGAGAATCGGAGGGGTGAAGCAGAGCCCTTTCATGACGAGCCTTGACGACGTCATCAATCCGAATCGTGCGGATCCTAGCAGGACTTGCAGGCACCGCAATCACAACGTTGCCCAACATGGCCGGACGCGTGAATTTGGCCTTCCGGCAGGAGCCATCAGCCGCGCTACTACGACTTCTATGAAATAAAAAAAATAACTTGAAACTGGCTGGGAAATCAGATAAACTTAACATCAGTTTAAGTGTGATGCGGATGGGCTCAGGGGCTCTTGAGGTTATATGCAGCTATGCTCTGCGTGGTGATGGCCCAGCTGCTGCGCTCTGAAACACTTTGAACCAAGGCAGGCCAGCAGTCTTTGACCCCACAGACCCCAAAGCCTGCTTAACTGAAGGATGTAGCTCTGAGAGGTAGCCAACTGGTGTGAGACAGCTGCTGCTTTCGATTCTGCAAAGTTGCAGCTGCGCGTGGATCCAGTGGGAAATGCAGCCAGATCCAAATCCGGACTTGCACATTAAAAGGCTGCTAAAATGACGTTGCGATGCCGCGGCCTTGAACTCCGCAGCGAATTTAAGCTTGAAGAACTCGGGGTGTCTCATGCCAGAATAAAGCATCGCATCCAGCCCGTAACTTCGGCCTCTTCCTGCCGGCATTGCGGCATCGCACTGAGCAAGCGAAGGAGCCTCAAGCTCTGCTACGCAAGGTCCAAACGGCCGTGTCTCCTTCCACTTTGGTGGTGGTGTCACAGCGCGGTCAATGGCTCAGCCAATGGCTGTGGCGCGGCACATGCTGACCACTGCAGCGTTTACCCTACTGCCCGCTCCAATGCAGCGCAGCTTCAGACGAATGTCTGATGAAGCATCACAGAGCCCGCAGGCCTTAGATGGTGCACCCAGCCTCCGAAATTGGCTTGACGCGCTCGTGGCAATAAAGCGATTCTACTGATGCCAATGCAGCCACAGCCCTGAGACTAAGGTGGTTGCGCAGGAGTATCCTCGCAGTCAAAACGGTCCATAGCTGCTTCACGCGCATTTGCATTTGCCTCCCTGTTCGCCTCGAACATCTCCAGAACTTGTGCCATACCGGGACCATCTGGCATCACTCGCTCGTCATACACGACCACGACCACCTGACCGGAAAGAATCATACACGACCACGACCACCTGACCGGAAAGAATTCATGATACATCTGGCTCAAAACTCCAATGGGCAAAAGCCCATAACTTTTAGCAAGAATGCTGCTTCGAACTGCTTCGTATGACACACCTATGCATCTCAGAGTAAAATAGTACACTGAACGGCTTGTTACCGGTGGAATTCCTACACCATTCAGGCCATTCATGAACGACTTCGTCTTTCACGGCCTCATCAAGTGGTTGCAAGAAATGCGTCGCCCCGTAGTCCGTGTACTCCTCGGTGTGTTGCGCGCTTTGCTTGGAAAGCCTTGGGATCGCCGAGGCATAGCTTCGTCCGAGATGCACCAGCCCCGAGTGCAATCCATGAGGAGGTTGGGAAATCGCTCGCGGCAAGTTGAGGAAAAATTTCCTCTCAATCGATTAGCCAAGTTTTTGACTTCATTATTATGGTCGACAAGGTCACGAACCTCTGCTCAAGATTACAAAGCACAACGCAGTCCTCCCACTTGTCCGTGTCTTTTTGCCCGTTAATCTGCTCAACGATCCACTCCAAGAGTGGCTCATGGAAGAGCAAGTAGTTCCTGCGATGCTTGCCGAAGCAACATACCCTCGACGTGTGCAGGAGGCCGTCCTGACTGGCGCCTTCACAGAGTACTGGAAGACCTCCCGCGAACAGGAAGCATGATGCAACTCCCTGCATAGCTGCAAGATCCAAGCTTTTCTCAAACTGAAGCTAGTACTTACACTTTCTAGTTACTACAGTAGCTCTTGTGTAACACACAGGCAGGGTAGAGCCAGCTGTCAGCTCCCAAAGGGCCAAAGGCAAAGCCTCTCCGTCTCGCTTCATGTAGGACCTAAGCTCGGCAGGATGCTCTGCCAAAAGACTTCATTGCTGAGTTGGGGGACACCAGCGCCAGGAAGTCGACGAAGGTGCCCGGACCGAAGCCGTCGACAGGAAAGCTTCGGAGGCTAATTCCTGCTCGATCTCGGCACACTCGCATTCAAAAAGGCATACAAACGACGCAGGCCTTTGCTGCCGAAGCCCCAGTTCTTCTTCATGCTCCTTACAGCCAAATCCGAGACGCTCATGCAATTTGGGAGAAAACAGTCCAATTCAGTCAAAGAGCAGCTTCTCTGCTCCCTCCAAGCTGCGAATGGAGCAGTCCTGCGCGAGGAGTCCTAGAGGCCCTAGAAAATCTGGAGCACGCGGTCAGAACGCTTGCTGAGTGCAGCTGCTGAGGCAACGGCATTGAAGGCAGCCACGCGCCTGCTAACAATGTCACAGGCGTATGGTGGCAAAGCTAGGACTTGAAACGCTTTCTTCTGCAAAGACCTGGGGACCAGGTGGTCGACCCGCTTGCGGTCCTAAGGCATCCAAGCGAGCTAGAGGCTATCGTTGTGCCTAGTTCTGGCTCTCCTTCTCCCTTGCAGCTCTAGGTTCCTGTACGGTCCTTCGTGTAAACGATGTCAACCAGCAGCCCGAGCTCAGGTTCAACTTGAACCTGCTGTCGGTGAAAAGCATTGCCACGCAAAAAGCACACAGGAACATTAGGAGAGCTTAGAGGACCTTGCAAGCACCAGGGAGCTTCGGGTAGTCGATGACTGCCTCGATAAGATCGCAAGGGCTAGAACCAACCATCATAGAGCTCATTTCAGCCCTTTCCGTAAAACACCATGAACTTCCTGCCTTACTGAAACATGTTGCAGAGCTTGGCTACACACTGCTTCTCCGGCAACTGCTCAGCCAGCGGCGTAAGTCACCGGAAACTCCTGTAGTCGTTTCTTGTCTGCCTGAGCATGTGGCCACGGACAACCCGGGAGCAGGTGTACAGACAAGTTCAGCCTGCTGGTCGCTGACTTGGTACGGGTGAGGAGGCCTTGCGATTCGCCCGTGTGGACTCCGACTTCTCTCAGTGCCAGCATCCAAGCGGCATGTAGTAGCTGAAGATAGCGGCTGGCTTCGTGGCAGAATGGCTCTCCTCACTTTTCGCTTCGTCACCGTTGTGAGTCGACCGCGCGGCAAATGCAGCGTTACAAGGATGAAACTGCAGAGATGAGAAGCACCTTCCAACTGCGAAGAGCATATAAAGTTAGCTCCATGTGGCAGTGTGGCAATGCCTCACTGAAGCTGCTTCGCATCACAACGGGATCCAGGAGGATGCCGAACAGAAACAAGAGAGCACCAGCCACAATCAAGTCAAAATCAGACCCTACGGCCGCGGGGCAACCCATGCGAGCAGCTTTTGGAAAAGAGCGCAGTAGGAGAGAGTCAAGGAAGTCAGACGCAGGATGACTGTCACGGCTCGTATGGCCGCAGAAGCTGGATAGATGGTCGCTGGTCCTGGCCAGCCTCGCCGGCTTGCGCCATGTGCCCTGCCAGAACGGGTCCGGGCAGACATGGCAGTTGACACTGGCAGTCAGAATCGCCGCTTGCATGATGGCTTAGGCTATGAAAAACAATCCCACCTGCCACATTTCCAGCCACCCCAAGGCCTTATATGACGAGAGATGGGTCTCAGGAGCACTACGGTCTTTGCATGTCTTTGGTAATTTAAAAAGCAGCCGAGCTTCCGCAACATCTATGCCACAGCTTCAGTCTTCCTGCTTGTCGCATCATCTGTACAACCTTTCTAAAGACACCCAATGACGAGTCCACTTCACGTTTCCGGCTTCGGCTACAAGCAAGGCAACAGATGCCTACCTTGAAGTTGTTGATGAAGCTGCTGAAATTGATATGATCCATTCCCCATGGGTCCTGTTCAAAAGTTGGCACGGCGGATGATTTAGCGGGAAGTTTCTTGCCAATCAGATCAAGGGTAGGCTCCAGCTGCTTTGCCAGGTGTTCTGCGTGCTCATCAGACTCGAATCTGTAGCACAAGGACCTCGCAGGTATTTTCTCATTGTTGCAGCACGTTCGCGAAGCATGTCTCCGGCACGGTCGAGGGTCAGCAACGTCAAGGCAGCATATTTTGAGTATACTAAGTCAATCACTTTAGATCTTTGCGTGTGACGTAGCCTTTCTTTTTCCTGACAAATCATTCAGAGAAGTTGCAAAACAGGCGATATGACAAGCAGACATGAACTTCCCAGCCTATCGAGTCGTGTCCAAATGGCCCACTCTCGCCTCCGCTTGCATACTGTCCAGTTCAGCTCGAAACCAAAATCCGTTACGACCGTTACGAGTACCTAACCGTCGGCTCAGGCAAGAGGCGGATGCGTCGCTTTGCCAGGCTGACGTCTTCGACGCTGCTCCCTGTGAATCCAGTAGACAGCCTTGGTCGCACTGGAAAGCAGAAGGAAAGAGAGATGCCAGAAGGCACAAACAAGGCGAAGCCGGCTAAGCAGCAGAGGCCGTCATGGCACCGGATACGAAGCCCAAGGTGGCAGCTTTGGGCACCTAAGAAAATTCCCGAGCGTCCGTCAGCCCGCATCGTGCCCGTGCCCAACCCGCCTCGGCATCGCGGAGCGGTGCGCAGTGGGATGGCGGAGTGTCCAGGTCAATGCCGCCGACCTTCAAAGGTTCAGCCTCGCACGGAGGCGGAAGAGACTTCAGAATCCACCAGACCGTTCCATAATATTCCATACCATTCCCGAACTGGTTGGCCCGAGTCACACGTGCAGCGGAAACCAGAATAGCAGCACTCAACGCCGTTGCTTTCACACCGGGCATGGCTCCAGGTTGTGGCATGCATGGACCGTCTTCCGAAAGACCAAACTTCCTTCAGGATTCCATCATCTTGAAGCTTTAAGCGCTCATGTTGCTGAAGCCTGAAAGCTGAAGCAGCTGCAGCCGCTCATGACCAATAAGAGAAGAATCTGCAAGCCGTAGATGACCCATGCAGCTTCTGAACATGGTGCCGCTTGTTTCTATCGCAAACGCCCGCGGTTTCGATACCTCAGTATGTTGAAGCGATGAAATGATGGCATGTGTGCCGGCAGCCCTCCGCACTCTCGGGCTCTCAGGCAGCAGCCAGGAAACATGTGCA